GGAAATCAGTCAATTGAAATACATTAATTAGGTCCTAATCTATGAATTTCACATGACTGGGAATACAGATATGCATATGTTGGTCACAGAAACCTTTTTAAAAAGGTAGGGGCATGGATCAGAAAACTAGTCAGTATCTGGTGTGACCACCATTTGCCTCATGCAGTGCGACACATCTCCTTCGCATAGAGTTGATCAGGCTGTTGATTGTATCCTGTGCACTGTTGTTCCACTCCTCTTCAATGGCTGTGCGAAGTTGCTGGATATTGGCGGGAACTGGAACACGCTATCGTACACGTAGATCCAGAGCATCCCAAACATGCTCAATTGGTGACATGTCTGGTAAGTATGCAGGCCATGGAAGAACTGGGACATTTTCAGCTTCCAGGAATTGTGTACAGATCCTTGCGACATGGGGCTGTGCATTATCATGCTGAAACATGAGGTGATGGCGTCGGATGAATGGCACGACAATGGGCCTCAGGATCTCGTCACGGTATCTCTGTGCATTCAAATTGTCATTGATAAAATGCAATTGTGTTCGTTGTCCGTAGCCCATACCATAACCCCACCATGGGGCAATCTGGTCACAACATTGACATCATCAAACTGCTCGCCCACACAACGCCATACACGCTGTCTGACATCTGCCATCTGCCCGGTGCAGTTGAAACCGGGATTCATCCGTGAAGAGCACACTTCTCCAGCGTGCCAGTGGCCATCGGAGGTGATTATTTGCCCACTGAAGTTGGTTATGACACCGAACTGCAGTCAGGTCAAAACCCTGGTGAGGATGACGAGCAAGCAGATGAGCTTCCCTGAGACAGTTTCTGACAGTTTGTGCAGAAAGTCTTTGGTTGTGCAAACCCACAGTTTCATCAGCTGTCCAGTTGGCTGGTCTCAGACGATCCCGCAGGTAATGAGGCAAGATGTGGAGGTCCTGGGCTGGCGTGTTTAAACATGGTCTGCGGTTGTGAGGCCGGTCGAACATACTGCCAAATTCTCTAAAAGCACGTTGGAGATGGCTTGTGGTAGAGAAATTGACATTCAATTCTGCTCTGGTGGACATTCCTGCAGTCATCATGCGAATTGCATGCTCCCTCAAAACATGACACATTTGTGATAAAACTGCACAATTTAGAGTGGCCTTTTATTTTTTTCCCCAGCAGAAGGTACACTTGTGTAATGATCATGCTGTTTAATCAGCTTCTTGATATGCCACACCTGTCAGGTAGATGGATTATCTTGCAAAGGAGAAATGCTCACTAACAGGGATGTAAACAAATTTGTGCACAACATTTGAGAGAAATAAGCTTTTTGTGCATATGGAAAATGTCTTGGATCTTTTATTTCAGCTCATGAAACATGGTTGCATTTATATTTTTGTTCACTGTATATATATATATATATCTTTTAAAAATGCTATTTGAACGGTTATAGCGGTGACCATGGTCATTTGGCTGACAAATAACTGTCATCCAAAATTCTATGACCGTCACAGCCCTACTTGGAACGATTCTCTCTTTCGCTCTCTGTCTCTCTCTGTCTCTCTCACTTTCCACCCCTCTCCCTCTCATTTTTAGCAGGTTCTGTTTGGTGCATTGTCATTTATAATGGAAATGACATGCCCTGAGTGAAAGTGACATTATGTCAGAATTGTATCCTGTGATTCCTGCCAGACTCAATCACTCTTGCTGTGTACCTCATTCAAAAATCAAATTGGAACTATTGCAAAGCCTCCATAACTTCAGAAGACTCCAATAACTCTTAACTAGACCCCAAGCCAGACATTCAGATGAGTTTCGCAGACAAAGAAACCTCTCTAGCTGCTTGCTACTCCTTTGACTGAGTTTCAATTCGGTCAAAGAGAACAGGAGGATTATGCAAAAAAAATTAAACAGCAACAAACAAATGAAAGGTTGCCACTGAAATAGCTGTGCCTCTCTATACTGGCACAGCCTCCTGCTGCTTTTCTAGGATGCTGATAGATAGCAACACATTCTAATGAAGCAGCGAGAGGTCCACTGTTTATGTGTATCTGTTGTAACTGAAAAAAACGAGACTGTGATGGGTAAAGCCAAAGGGGAACTATCAGAAATCTGTGGGTGTCAAGTTGGCTGCAACTCCACACAGTTAGTCTAACATAAGGACAATGATTGCTAGGAAAGGAACAGAAAAGGATTCCATCAACACGATGCTCAATTCAACACTGTTGATTTAAGAATCTTGTTTGTTGACTTTTTCCTCAAAAGAGGAACACATAGCCTACATATCAGTACATACACACAATATCTAGGTCTAATACATAGTACAGTGCAAATTACAATACAATATACATAAAATGGCTGTGTCTCTTCACAGTCCCCTTTGTGCGGTAAGGTGTTCTTTTATCTGTTGGTTTTATTGTTAGCTTGAGTTACCTGGGGTGGCTGAGAGTTCCATGTAGTCAGGGTTCTTCCAATGAAGGTGAAAGTGGCAATCCTCACAGACAGCTCTAAATTAATTTTTCTACACCCCGTTCAATCAATCCTCACGGTTGAGCCATCAGTCCAAATGTCAGACCAACGTCATCAGGACTAAAAGGCCAATCGCAATCCTATTTGTATCTCAGTGTGCAACATATTATCTCATGGAAATCTCATTCATAAAGCTGCATTAAATGTGAATGTTTTTTTCCCTTTCGAATCCAGTTTCCGTAGTTTGAGTGATTTCAGATGCCTGTACTGGAAGATTGCGCATCTCCCAAGTCATTGTTGGTGATGATGTTTTTTTGTGGCATCAGGCTAAAATCTGTCCTGTGTGTCACATGTGACAGCAGCCTGTCTCTCCCTGCCTCCCCCTGCCTCTAATAGGGCCACTGCCCATCTTCCATGCCATTTTCAAATTGACCCTTCAAGGTCATCGTGCCGAAACAAAATTAAATGTGTCCTCCATTACAAGAAGATAGTTGGAACTGTCTGACAGTGGTGAACACTGCAGAATAATATAATTATTATGTAAATTAGCCGAGAGGTCGGGTTTCCATTGGCCAATGACCAACATCAGGGTCTCTTAGTGGATGTGTGAGCATTTCTCTCCAGATAGTCTACTGGGAACACTGATTCATGTGCTCAACCACAATGGGCTTCAGGTGCTTACATTCATTCCATTTGTGTTGCTGCGCAACGAGGTCCAGATAGATCTTTTCACTTATTCTTCTCCACTTAACGTCCACCCATACCTGATAAAAGGAGATTAGGAATGTATGGTTAAAGGTATGGCAGTAGCACTTAGGCTCCCATTCTAGACATTTGTGTGACATATTTTTTATAATCCACTGGGTGCACCCCTCTCAGACCTTCAAAGCCCATTCACAATATAGTGGATGTTTTGTCACACAATGTGCGTGGAGGTAGAAGATGCAGAATTGACCTTCGCCCTGTAGGGATTATGTAGCAGGGTTAGGGTCAATCCCATTTCAGTTCATTCCATTCAGGAGATGCATTGACATTCATTTCATGAAAGTGTTTTTCAAAGCATGAATATAATTAAATTCCCTTCCTGTATTGACGGAACAGAGTTGGAATGGAATCGATCCCAGACCTTGTTGTGTAGACAAAGGATCTTTGTTCCATGGTAATTCATGGCTATTCTGTGGGAGGATATTGTCATGCTCTTAGCCCCTTCTCCTTGGGCTCCTCTTCAACCTCAGCATAGAGAAAATGTTGTTACTGAACACATGCCAGCAGGGCTCCAGACTAACATTACCCCCTGGTGGCACTGGTGCCACTAACTCTTTCAGTTGGTGGCACCAGCCCATGATTTGGTGGCACCCCAAAAAAATCAGAATGCTTTATTTAAGCAATAAGGCCCGATGAGGTTTGGTATATCAAATTAAATCAAATCAAATGTATTGGTCACATACACATGGTTAGCAGATTTTATTGCGATTGTAGCGAAATGCTTGCACATCTAGTTCCGACAGTGCAGCAATATCTAGCAAGTAATATCTAACAGTTCCACAACAAAAACCTAATACACACAAATCTAAGTAAAGGAATGGAATAAGAATATATAAATATATGTCCAATATACCACGGCTAAGGGCTGTTCTTACGCACGACGCAACGCAGAGTGCCTGGATACAGCCCTTAGCTGTGGTGTATTGGCTGTATACCACAAACCCCCGAGGTGCCTTATTGCTATTATAAACTGGTTACCAAAGTTATTAGAGCAGTAAACATACGTGTTTTGTCAGACAATCAGCATTTAGGGCTCGAACCACCCGGTTTATAATAAGAATTATACAACGGGTGGGTCAAATCCTGGATGCTGATTGGTTAAAACCACGTTCCAGCATGTATCTATTCCACAAGTTACCACCGGCTAAGGCTATGATGTTGAAATGCCTATTCACTGATTATATCTCACTGCGTAAATCACTGTCTCATCAGCCCAGCCAGGCAATTTATCAACTTGATCTCCACTGTAAAAAAGGATTTAGACATTATCTCCATTTGCTTTTAGACTAGCATTTGGTTTGCAACAGTGGAGATTTGTATAAACCTTGCTGTCTGTCTCTCCAACCTTTGCAATATTGTTTCAATATTGAATTGCTATCTCCTCTGTCCCATAGAAAGTGAATGTGTAGGAATGAGACATATAGAAAGTTGAGCTGGTTGTCATTGCAACATACAAAAAACGTTCAGTTGACATTCAGCTACATCGATACTTTGCTGCTGAAATGAAAAAAGGCTGATTATTTTGATCTTTGTTGGCAGCTTGACTATGGATGAATGGAAGAAAGAGATAGAGAAAGTGATGGCATGCAGATTTGGAGGATACTGCATTGAATGACCTAGAGAAAATCTGCAACGAAGAAAACACTGTTAAGAATACAAACTGGGCTGTGCAGTGCTTCGAGGGCTGGCTAGCAGAGAAGAAAAAAGTAGTTGACTTCAAAACTGTCACTAAGGAGGAGTTGAACACCCTTCTTCGACAGTTTTATGGAAATGTACAAAATGGGAAGGAGTGGGCTCGACTGGTTTCTAAATGACCCACCCATAGGTCGCAGCTGGTGCCTTATGAAGGACATTACATTTACCACCTTGAATCAGGTATTTCTGGGCAACGTCAAACAGCTAATACGGCAAGGAAAATATAAGGACAAGATCCAGCTCCAAAACTCCCAGGCTCTGAATCCCGGTACACCAAGGGGTCTGGTCCAGAAATTGTGTTGCAAATCCAGTTGCATCTGGGTCGAAGAGGAAAAGAGGGGAAGAGACAACTAAAGCCCAATTCATTCCTCATAAAAACAGATGAGAACGGTTTAACGTATGTTGTTTGTAGCCTGTTTATGTTTTTTTTTTTATTTGCACTCGCAATTTGGCTACTAGAAAACAATATTACAACAACACATTCACTCTCAGATACGCCAATCTCGCATATAACGAGGCCACAAAGAATCATCTGGACGCAAGGGAGAGGGGCAGGGAGTCCAAGAGGGGATTCATGTTCGAGCAGCCAGGGAATCCACTATGCCCGGTGGCATCACTAGAGAAATATCTATCGAAATGCCCGGAGAATGCCCCTGCATTTCATCTCCACCCAAGAAGAGGAGAGTGTATCAGGGACTGGTACATGTCAGAACCGATGGGCGTGGAACTATGTGGCAGCACTGCTACCCAAGATCTGCAGGGCAGTGGGAACAACTAAATACACAAATCACAAATACACAAATCATCAGGACCACTACAGTCCAGAAACTGGCCAATGCTGGTTTAGAAGCGAGGGAGATTATGTCAGTGAGTGGGCATCGGTGGAAAAATTGGCTCCAGACCTTTTTTTATTTATTTTTACCATTATTTAACTAGGCAAGTCAGTTAAGAACAAATTCTTATTTACAATGACGGCCTACACCGGCCAAACCCGGACGACGCTGGGCCAATTGTGCACCGCCCTATGGGACTCCCAATCACGGTCGGTTGTGATACAGCCTGGAGTTGAACCAGGGGGTCTGTAGTGACGCCTCAAGCACTGAGATGCAGTGCCTTAGACCGCAGCGCCACTCGAGAGCCTACTGGCGTCCCTCACTGACAGACAAAAAACGCTGGAGCAACATCCTCGCCGAAAACAAAGCGAACACCACAGCACCATCAACACCCAAAAGGCTGAAGCAATGCTGCAGTACTAGTAGTAGCACAGACCCCCACATTTATTTAAACCAATGCACCATCCAGGGGGATATACAGATAAATGTGACATACAAAAAGTAGCTAGCTATCTCCGCTGTGGTGGATAACAAAGAGAATGTATGGTTTCATTTGTTAAACTCAGTTCAAATTAATGCTATGGATTGTCTTTCTTTTGTCTGAACAGTGTCCTGATGAGAGAGCACATTTTCTATGCCACGCGAAGTAGCTCATCATTAGCTCATTGTTATTGGATTTATCCAAATAACTGTTCATAGAAAACAGCTACTTTGCTGTTATTCTTGTTGCACTGTTTGACATGACTGTGTTATCCGTAGTTGGCTAACTAGTAAGCAAGGGATACGAACGTTGCCAGCCAGTGTGGCAACAGAACATTAAGAACAAACGATAGATACAGAACAAAAATACTTCACGACTGCGTAACGTCTCTGGCAACATAACCAATAGACTATATCTCGTGGAAGGATGAAATAGTATGAATAGATTAATCAAATAATATTTTTAATGAAAATATGTAAATTGTTATTTGAATATGTTTGTAACCCGTTGTATAAAAGTGATAATGTCCTCGAAGCCAGTGTTTGGAGGATATATTGGCACAGTTTGCCGGCCCTCGACGGACCTGTGCCAATTTATCCTCCTAACACCGGCTTCTCTGGCATTATAACTTAAGTGTAATATACTACTGAGATGGTTTTCAATAAATAAGTTGTTACACCTAACATGTCCAAGCAGGAATGCATGATTCAAAATATTTTGATCAATATTCATACCCCTTGACTTATTCCACATTGTGTTGTGTTATAGCCTGAATTCATAATGGATTAAATATTATTTTTTCTCACCCATCTACACACAATACTCCATAATGACAAAGTGAAAACATGTTTTTAGAAATGTTTGCAAATGTATTGAAAATGAAATACAGAAATATGTAATTGACATTAGTACTCACACCACTGGGTCAATACATGTTAGAATCACCTTTGGCAGCGATTACAGCTGTGAGTCTTTATGGTTAAGTCTCTAAGAGATTTGCACATCTGGATTTTACAATATTTGCCCATTAATATTTTCAAAATGTTTCAAGCTCTGTCAAATTGGTTGTTGATCATGGCTAGACAACCATTTTCCATAGATATTGAAGCAGATTTATGTGGTCCTCTGTAGCTCAGCTGGTAGAGCACAGCGCTTGTAACGCCAAGGTAGTGGGTTCGATCCCCGGGACCACCCATACACAAAAATGTATGCACGCATGACTGTAAGTCGCTTTGGATAAAAGCGTCTGCTAAATGGCATATTATTATATTATTATTTAAGTCAAAATTGTAACTAGGCCCTCAGGAACATTCACTGTCTTCTTGGTAAACAACTCCAGTGTAGATTTGGCTTTGAGTATTAGGTTATTGTCCTGCTAAAAGGTGAATTAATCTCCCAGTGTCTGGTGGAAAGCAGACTGAACCAAGTTTTTCTCTAGGATTTTGCCTGTGCTTAGCTCCATTTCATTTCTTTTTTTTTATCCTGAAAAATTCCCCAGTCCTTATTGATTACAAGCATAGCCATAACATGATGCAGCCACCACTATAATTGAAAACATGGAGAGTGGTACTCAGTAACGTGTTGTATTGAAATTGCCCCAAACATAAAAATGTTGTGTTATGGACAAAAAGTGAATTGCTTTGCCACATTTTTTGCAGTATTACTTTAGTGCCTTGTTGCAAACAGGATACATGTTTTGGAACATTTTATTCTGTACAGGATTCTTTCTTTTCACTCTGTCAATTAGGTTAGTATTGTGGAGTAACTGCAATGTTGTTGATCCATCCTCAGTTTTCTCCTATCACAGCCATTAAACTCTGTAACTGTTTTAAAGTCACCATTGGCCTGATGTTGATATCCCTGAGCGGTTTCCTTCCTCTCCAGCAACTGAGTTAGGAACAACGCCTGTATCTTTATAGTGACATGTATTGATATGCCATCCAAAGTGTAATATAACTTCACCATGCGCAAAGGGATATTCAGATTTTTTAATTTTTTATCCATCTACCAATAGGTGCCCTTCTTTGCGAGGCATTGGAAAACCTCCCTCTTTGTGGTTCAATCTGTGTTTGAAATTCACAGCTCGACTGAGGAACCTTACAGATAATTGTATGTGTGGGGTACAGAGATGCGGTAGTCATTCAAAAAATTATGTTAAACACTATTATGTGAGTGAGTCCGTGAAACGTAATATGTGACTTGTTAAGCACATTTTTTACTCCTGAACTTATTTAGGCTTGCCATAACAAAGAGGTTCAATACTTATTGACTCAAGACATTTCAACTTTTCATTTTTTATTAATGTGTAAAAACTTTGAAAAACATAATTCCACTAAGACAGTATGGGGTGTTGTAAAAGGATCACAAAATGCAACTAAATGATTACAGTCTGGAGCTCTGCGTGCCAGACAGACCTACAGGGATGTATTATATTATACTTATGGACAGCAGGATGCTAGCAGTAACCTGACCACTAGGAGCCCAGTTATGAGGAAATTGGTCAAATAGTTTCTGAACTGATTTGAAAATGTTGAATGACCATTTAAACAAACCAAATGAAACAGAGTTATTGTAATCACTCAAACCAGTCAAATGTTTAACCAGTCCAAGTATTAACTATTAACTTTAAGGGCTCTATTTTAACAAACCCAACACAATGGGAAATCTAAGCACTGGCAGTGGCGCTATAGGTCCGGGGATGTGTCAGAAATACTTTTGCTATTTTCACTACCATTAAAATGACAGCAATAGCTGACTGTGGTGTGAAAGGGCTGGGTTTTGATGAATAAACAAGTTGTAGGTGTGACGAGGGCTTGGCCACTCACTGGCCAATCAAGCGGTTCCATGGCTTAATACTGCATGCGTTTGTCTCAAGTTCGGTAGGTTATTGATGGTCTTTGCATTGTCATCAACTCCAATTCGGCTAGGGGCACAGAATAGTCTTGTCCTAGTCCATTGTGGATTGATACTATAGTTTATTAAATAGCATAGGCTACATACAGTAAGCAGTGATAGCAACAGTAAAAAAAAAAAAAAAAGTGTTTGCTCAATATGTTTGGAGTCGTGACAGTCAAAAGTATAGGTCTTTACGCGTCACACTTCTCCTCAAATAAAAAATACTAGGCTCCCGTAAATTGTATTGTATGTGTGAGGCACATTATCATTAAGCAAGATACACTGAATGTACAAAACATTAGGAACAACTTCCTAATATTGAGTTGCACACCCTTTTGCTCTCAGAACAGCCTCAATTCGTCGGGGCAAAAGCATTCCATAGGGATGCTGGGCCATGTTGATTCCAAAGCTTCCCACATTTATGTCAAGTTGACTGGATATCCTTTGGGTGGTGGACCATTCTAGATACACATGGGAAACTGTTGAGTGTGAAAAACCCAGCAACGTTGCAGTTCTTGACATACTCAAACTGCTGAGACTGGCACCTACTACCATACCCTGTTCAAAGGCACTTAAATATTTTGTCTTGCCCATTCTCCCTCTGATTGGCACCCATACACAATCCATGTCTCAATCGTCTCAAGGCTTAAACATCCTTCTTTAACATGTCTCCTCCCGTTCACCTATACTGATTGAAGTGGATTTAACAAGTGACATCAATAAGGGATCATAGCTTTCACCTGGATTCACCTGGTCAGTATATGTCATGAAAAGAGCAGATGTTCCTAATGTTTTGTACACTCAGTGTATAGCCTAGTCCTACCGTTGATATGGCGTAATAGGACTGAACATTTTGAATTGCCTATGTTTGGAGGAGTCTATGGTAACCTGACAAGAGGCGCTCTTTGGAAATGGAGATGGATACAAGCCAAATGGAGTATGCACTGCAGGTAGGCATATGTGAATTGTTAATAATGCAAAAGTACATTGGCAAAAGCCTCACAAGTAGACCTTTTATGGATAGGCTACTTGGCTAATCCATGTCCAGGATAAGAAAGACATCAGACGCATTGAACAAGCTTTCATTAGTAGGGTAAGAGTAGCTAAGGGCTGTTTTAATTAAACGAAATGGAAAACAAGCAATTTTTACAGGAAAATAACTTAAATGTTTCTAAATACCAGATTATCTCATCTCTCCTTCCATGATGGGCATATAGCCTACTTGAAGGGGTTTTTACGCACATCCAAAATAACAACAAGAGCTGGCTAAAATAATGTAATAGCCTAAAAAAAGGGGATGTCTTCTCACTGTTTTGCTGCTGCCAAACTTGATATTTAAATGCTTTGGTGATTAAGATTTATTTCAAAGCGTTCTCACGAGTTAAAACCTTTATCAATAGTCTTGACTACTTGGCAAACGGATTGGGCATGACAAAAAAGGAGGGGAGGCTATGCTTGGTTTTTAATCAAATTAAACGAAATGGGATTTTTCTTTAGTTTTTTATGTTTCTAAATACGAGATTTACGGGCACAAAAAGCACATTTTCTTGTCCA